GCTCTGCAGCCCCTCAGGAAGAAGTTAAGGTGGTGCACGGAGCCATGTACTCAAGTGAAAGGAGGGGGAGGTGGCGAGAGGCAAGTAAGAAATCAAAAGAAGCAGGAAAAAAAAGCAACAGTAGCAGCCAACAAATGGCACTTAGAGAGCAAGCTAGTGCTGGCTGGTGTTTCTGGACAAGAGACTGTGTTCTCAGGAAGCAGAGGGGGCTGAGTGAGGGTGAAGAAGGGTAGAGAGTGGGAAAGTGTATATCACAAATTACCGGAGCTCTGCAGCCCCTCAGGAAGAAGCAAAGATGGCTCACGGAGCGAGGTACTGGAGCGAAAGGAGGGGGAGGTGGGAAGAGGCAAGGAAGAAATCTAAAGAAGTGGAGAAAAGCAACACCAGCAGCCAACAAATGGCACTCAGAGAGCCGCCTGTTTGGGTGTGTGGAATCCAAGCAGCTGGTGTTTCCCAGTCAAGAGATTGTGGCCGTGGGAAGCAGAGGAGGCCAAGTCGGAGTGAAGAAGGGTGGGGCGTGGGAAAGCGTATATTGCAAATTACCTGTTGTTTTGTCTCCCGCTGGACGCTGCTTTCTCGCACCACCTGTTTGCTGGTCTCCGATAGGAGTCTGAGATGGCAGATCCGCGCTGCGTTAGCTGGTAGGGGAGCTCTGCATGAATCTCTCCTCGCTCTCCATTCTCTGTCAGTTTTCTGACTCCATTTGGTGCTTGGCTGAGTTCTTTATCTCTTCATTTGATGTTTTAGGGTTTCAGGATTGTTGTTTTCTCTGTTCGGCTTAGTTTTTCGGATCTTTGCTGTGGAGGGACGGCATGGTGCTTCTGCCTAGAGCGCCATTTTGCCGGAACTCCCTAAACTGGGTCATTTTTTTCCCTAAAGAGGGCCCACTTTAATCCTTTCTTCCTCTCTACTGTTCCTCTTTCTCCTTTTCTTCATTAGTTTTCTCCATTAATGTCCTTTTTTCATCTGCAAAATGGGATTTCACCGAGATGATCTACCTCTCAATTCACTCTTCAGTCTCCTACAATCAGACTTTTATCTCCACCATTCTACCTTTGACAAACCAAACCAAACTCGTTGCTGTTGAGTCAATTCTGACTCATAGCGACCCTATAGGAAAGAGTAGAACTGCCCCATAGAGTTCCCAAGGAATGGGTGGAGGATTCGAACTGCCAAACTTTTGGTTTGCAGCTGAGCTCTTAACCTCTTCGCCACCAGGGCCACATCTTTGACAAAGACCTCCTAATTACCTAGTTAAGTAAGTACCTAATTATCAAATCCAGTAGGCCCTTGTCCGCCTTCTTACTTGACTTCCCTGTCATAGTGGAGACTGCCTCTTCCTTTCTTCTTGCAATATTTGTCTCCCTTGGCTACAATGTCATCACCCTCTTATGATTTTCTCCTTGCCTTTGTGCGAGACAGTGTAGCCTTAGAGTCACAGTCCCATGGCCTGTGTTCAAGTCCCAGCCCAGCTACTTGCTTGCTGGTCACTTAGGTGAGTTGCCAGACCTTTCTAAGCCAGTGTCTTTCTTCGTCTGTAAAATGGAGTTTCACTGAGGTGAGCCATATGAAGCTCTGAGCACAGTGCCTGGCTCACCGCCTCGCTAGCACTGTTAGCTGTGATTCTGATTGTAGTTGACCTTCCCTTCTCATTCTCGTCCGGCTCTTCTTTCTGCCCATTGATATTGTGTTGCATGTTGGCCTCCCCTCATGCAGCTTGATTTACTACCTATGTGAGCTGATAACTCACAAACCTGCTTCTCTTCTACTTCTCTTCCACTCTTCCGTTTTACTGTGGTGAAATGTAAAACCAACCATTCTCCTCCCCATCCAAAAAACGAATCATCCTAAGCAGTTCCCTTCTCCCTTTAACCCCGGTTTCTTTTCCTTTCCATTTCTACTCTTCCTGCTTTAGATCAGGTTCTCCTTACCTTTTTCCTGTGTTAATAGTTTTTAAGTAGAGGACATTGGTGGTCCAGTGGTGGAATTCTCACCTTCCATGCAGGAGACCCGGTTTGAATCCCAGCCAGTGCACCTCATGCACACCACAACCTGTGTGTCAGTGGGGGTTTGTGTGTTGCCGTGATGCTAAATATGTTTCGATGGAGCTTCAAGACTAAGGTGAACTAGGAAGAAAGGCTGAGTGATCTACTTCAGAAAATGAGCCAGTGATAACCCTGTGGATCACAACAGTCTCATCTACAACCCATCATGGGGATGGCACAGGACCGGGCAACGCTTAGCTTCTTTGTCCATGGGGTGGCCATGAGTCAAAAGCCAATTCGACAGCAGCTAACAAAATAAACAGTCTTTCTGTCTTCACTCTTAGGAAGTCCAGTCCATAGTCTCCACTGCTGCCAGAGTAATATTACTGTGCAGAGTTGACATCGTTCTTCTTTGCTTAAACGTCCTCCAGGCCTGTTGCCTACAGGGTGAAGTCTGTACTTCTTAGCATGGCTTTCCAGTGCTCCTCTCCCCGCACTGTGACCGTCCCCTTGTTTGTTTTCCTGTCCAACCTTACCTTTTATTCTAGTCTGTGGAAATACTGACATGTTGTCCAGAGCACCAGTTCGTTTCCTTCTTTGTTGTCTTTATGTGTACTGAAAAACCCTCCTGCACGTCTCTGCTTTCCTGAGTATGCTTAGCAAATGCACAGACTTCTCTGAAAGGTTTTCTGATTTTTTTCCTGTCACCCTCCCCAAACGCAGTCAGTTGACCACTCCTTCCTTTATGCGCCCACATTACCCTGATCAAAAGTCTTGTGTTTGCATGCTCTGCCACACTTGAGCATTTATGTGCCTTTCTTTCTCTGCTCAAGTGTAGAGACTTTTCCTAGATGATTATTACAGTATTTGGCACGTGGAGGATATTCAGAAAATGGTTGTTGAGTGAATGAGTAACCACAGGTGAACTTTCTTATGCCTTATTGTACAGTTAGTCTTAAATTCTCAAATTAAATAACTTGTGACATCTATTCATTTTTCATATGATGTTGATGATGTCTTCATAATTGATTTGAAGTGGCTCCACTAAACATAGAGAAACTGGCAATTTGTCCTGAAGGAAATAACTTAATCTTGACCCCCACTAATTTTGAAGGAGCATCCTCTCAAGTAAAGCGTGCCAACTTCCTTTTCAATATTTTTCTTCTTTTATTTTGCTCCTTTTAATTATATTAAAACATGAAATTGCCAATATTCATTCTTTACCTGCAGTTTCATATGACTCAGTCTATAGAACCAATGGAAGGGAATTTATTGGTCTTCACACATCTGTGCTCTGTAAATGGGGTGGAAATGGAGACTAGCCTGGCTGTGGGTGGATTTCCCACTTGGTAGAATGAAGAGCTCTGGCTTAGTTTCATGACCATCTCATAAGACAAGTGGGAAAGAGGCTTTTCCTCCTCTCCTTTTTCTGGTTGGCCACAGTCCTTTGTTTAGCTCAGAGACGGAGGGAATGAAAGCTGCTCCCAGTCCACACTGTGGGGCTGGGAGATCAAACTGGGTAACATCCCCCTTCTCTTGGAGTGTGTTCTTCTGGATTCATGATCATAACACTTGATACTAAGGACCTTATGAGCTCAGGTTTTCCTGTAGGTTCTCGTATAGCTGATTCTGTCTCCTGGCTTCATGAATGTCATTTTTTCAGGTGGCGTGATTCAAAGCCACTAAAGAGAGAAGGTCCTTGAGCTGACATGGAATCACACAGGTGCTTATTTCCCCTCCGGTGGTGTCCTGTGTGAGTTCTTCCCCAGGGCTATCTCTCTTTCTTGTCATCTTTTTTTTAATTGGATTAAAGCCGTTGCTGTTAAGTTGATTCCGACTCTTAGCAACCCTATAGGACAGAGGAGACCTGGCTCATAGGGTTTCCAAGGAGCAGCTGGTGGATTCCAACTGCCGATCTTTTGGGTAGTAGCCAAAAGCTTATCTGCTTTATGTTATTGTTGGCAAATGCAGTAATCAGAGGCTGAGGTGGAAAATAATTTTTTTTCCCTTATAGGTGACTGTGCTTCCGTACATTCATAATCAAACACATATGATTGCAAACCAGGCTTGATATTCACTCCCTCCTGCTCCTCCACTCCCTCCCCAGGTGTTTGCTTCTGAGTTTCAAATGGTAGCCTAATAGGCGTTTGGAGGGACTTTATGAAAATATATTGGTAAAAGTAAATGCTGGGAGATTTCTAAAGTCACAGCATCATATCAGTGTTTTCTCTGAGTGCGTACGGAATAATCTAATTCACGTAAAAGGTAAATCGTGAGCATTACTTTGTATAGCGCATAATTTAGAAGTACTGGCATTTTCACCAGGATACGATCCATGGCTCAGTATTAGTAAAGCATTCTGACCCTAAAGATTTAATGATGTTACATACTTTGATGGAAATATTAAAATATATTGATTGAAAATACTATATATGATAAAGTAATATATAACAGGAAACCTTACAAAAAAGAATATCTTCTAATAAACTTTTGTAAAGTTCTAAATTCAAAGATTTGTATTCTACTGGCATGTGAACCGTATCTTCTCAGACTTTGCTGGGTTATCTTAAAATACCTGAGTAAGTATATAGAAACAGGCTTAGATTAAAAGTCAGGAGCATTGCTTGGAATTGAGTGCTCAGGGTGGGACATCAAGTTTTAATGCAGGATCAACATGCTCTTAGAGCAAAGCGGGGAAAGACTTAGTGAGAGAAAGCCTACAGGGAAGTGCCCTCCCTGAACCCACAGGTATTGGTGGGGCTTGATCACAGAAGCCTTTGGGGCGAGCGTTTCCCCTACTGGTATTGCAGGCAGACTAGGATAGCTGGTTCTGCTCATCCACATCACAAATGGACAAGTGGTCCTCTTCTCATTTCCAGTGTGGTCATAAATCTTATCAAATGGTAAATTTATTTAAAGACTAAATGTGATACAAAGCAAGTGGCTTACTGTAACGTGATTTGCTGTTACAATTAGTCATGATAGGAGTAATACCGTCATGTTTCCTTTTCCTAGGTTCTCAGAGGCACCGTGACTGACTTCCCGGGATTCGATGAGCGGGCTGATGCAGAAACTCTTCGGAAGGCCATGAAAGGCCTGGGTAAATCCTGCCACTTTCACGTTCTCAGAAAATGTGACATTTGTTTTTTCAAACAAAACGTCCTTGATCTATATATGATTAATTTTAGAATATTTTAACATGAAATTTCTACAAAGAGGAAAGGTACATTTAAGATAACAAAATAATATTGACCATCCCGAATATTCAGTCTCTAAAAATAAACAGGAGGTGAAATTTCAGTCTCTTTGTGTCCTAATGTTTCAGCTTTACCTGTATGGAAACTAATTGAGCAGATAAGCAGGTATCTCTCAGAGAGATCAGCTGTGTAGTTCTTTGTTCCCTATGCCGAAACAGATATCCAGTTCTCCCTTCTAAAAAATAAAAAGTCAACCCTGTTGTCATCACATGGCAACTGTGTGTGTGTCAGAGTAGAGCTGTGCTCTGTAGGGTTTTCAATGGATGTTTGGCAGTACATTGCCAGGCCTTTCTTCTGAGGCATCTCTGGGTAGACTCAAACGACCAACTTTTCCATTAGCAGTGGAATGCTTAACTGTTTGCACCACCCAGAAACACCTTCTCCTTTCTAGCCACATGAAAAACTAGAGGATTTCCACACATAACTGATCACTCTGTCCTCAGGCTCCTCCCATACTAGGGCACATGTGTAAGGATCCACTTTCCTCAAACTCAGCTCTGATCTGTCACTCTCCATTCTGAGCAGCTTGTAAGATTTCCTGTTGTAGCAGGATTAGATGCAGGCTTTCTGGCCTGACCAGACCTTCTGTAGTAGCCCCACCCCACCTGGTCAGGCTCATCTCTTATTCCCGTTTGCTCTGTTCTCTGATCCAAGCATCTGGATTGTCTGCTGTTCATCAAAGCCTTGTATTTTCTTACAGCTGTACTTTTCCCTTGTCCTAAAAACCTGTCCTTCCTTACATCACTCCCTGTCAAATGTGTATCATCCTTTATGATCGTTTCAGGTTTGAAGCCTTTCCCAAAACTTCCTTCCTCCTCTCTATCAACTAAAAGAACCTTCTTTGAACCCCATTTAATACCTGGACCTCTCCTAAGTCACTTGTCACATTCTGCCTTAAGTCACAATTATTAGTGTGTTTTTATATTTTTCATGGTAAACTGTCTGTAACTCGAAGCCAAGGTCTATATATTTCTCCTGTCTGAATCCTCTATACCACTCAGAACATTGTGCCTTGTGAATGGTAGTTATTTGAGTAACTGTTTGTTGCATGGAAAGCTCTGTGCACTTAGATTTTAAAAAGTCAGGAGTATTTTTCCACCTATTTCACAATATGTCAAATAGTATATGTTGGAAGTAGAACATTTTATATATTGTAAATTTAAATATATATTATATAAATATATGTATTTATGAATATTTTATATTTTCACACGGATAAGGAAATAATAGAACTGGCGAGCTAGTTGCAAAGGTTATCGGGAGAGAGGGCATGTTGGAGACTAGATGTAATTGTTTAAACATAAATCGCAGGCACTGACGAGGAGACCATCCTGACTCTGTTGACGTCCCGAAGTAATGCTCAGCGCCAGGAAATCATTGCGGCTTTTAAAACCCTCTTTGGCAGGGTAAGACCCCACTACTTCCCGGGATAAAATGTGAGAGCAGCTATAAATTTGAAGGCTAGTTTGAAATGTAATAATATTTTTTTGCGAACATCATTTATTTTGTGATTCTGACTTCTCTACACTTTGCTTTTTATTTTTCGGTTTCCCTTAATTATTAGCTATTAGTATACAAACATTCCCCCAGCTTACCCTCACTTGAATGTGTTTCCTTGCTTGATGCTGGAGAGTGCCAGAGATCTCGGAGTCTCATGCTGATAACTGTCCATCTCTTTTCTTCTGTGCCTCCCACCCAGGATTATCTATTTTGTAGGTAGCAACCCGTATTACAGTGTGTTGTATCACGACACAGTCACAGTCTTGATTCCTTTTGCAGTGATTTTCAGAAATGACTTTCCAATTCATTAAAATGTTCTTATTTGATTACCAATTCAAAGGAGAAAGAATTAAACTGCAGCACTAGTCCCCCCGATCTATTGTTTCACTGTCTGTGGTTTCAGTGACCCACAGTCAACTGAGGTCCAAAAATATTACATGGAAAATTCCAGAAATAAACAATTCATAAGTTTTAAATTTCATGCCATTCGGAACAGCGTGATGAAATCTTGCACCATCCTGCTCCATCCCACCAGGGATGTGAATCATCCTTTTGTCCAGCGTGTCTACGCTGTATATGCTACCCGCCCGTTATTTGCTTAGTACAATAAGGTATTAAAGAGAGACAAACAGAGACCACAGTCACATAACTTTTATTACAATATATTGTTATATTCTGTTTTATTATTATTATTGTTAATCTCTTACTGTCTCTAATTTATAAATTAAACTTTATTATAGATATGTATGTATAGGAAAAAACAGTACATATAGGGTTTGGTAGTGTCTGTGATTTCAGGCATCCACGGAGGGTCTTGGAATGTATCCCCCGTGGATCAGGAGGGGGACAATTGGGAATTCGTTATTAAATGAATTAGCACATACATGAAAAATATAAATGTATTCTTGTTATTCTGAAATTTGTATTAATCATTCCAGTGAGAAACAAAAACAAAAAATGAAGTATTCTAAAGCACCATTTCTACTTGCCTGGCATGCTGAAACAAACAGATAGGAAATACTGCTTTTCATTATTATTTACACAATTTCCCCATAGTAGCAGCTGTCCAGTAATGAGGAGCATAATAACATAATCCGTTATGTATCACAACATCATTAAATATTGAGAGAAAACAGAAAATTGTTATGTTTAGGGATATATGCCAGATTTTGTTATTTGTAGAAATACATTTATATGTCTTTTGGGAAAAGTTTTCTTATGGTATGTGTTTCTTAAAACATATTTGTGAAAGTAAAATATTTTTGGCCTACTTTTTAAAAGTATCTTTTTTTTAACTCTTAAAAAGTTAAGAAAAGCATCTTTTTAAAAGTTAATACCTTGATGTATAAATAGCTTTGCGTTAGCTTTAGGTCAGATGTCAAAAGTATGTTATTCAGGACTGTGAGGTTTCTGTTGAGCTGATGTGCCTTCCTACTCCTGTTTGGAGACAGCAATAGTTTGTTCTAAAAGTGAGCAAGTTAGGAATTCTCTAAAATCATGTTTCATGCCTTTCTAACTCCTGTTTTAAAATATAAAGAAGAATTCATTATAGCAAAGGGCCATCATTTACACTTAGGAAGAATCTCCTTTAAATTTCTGCCTTGTTAACAAATGTGGGTTTTTTTGGTGTATATTAGGATCTTCTGGATGACCTGAAATCAGAACTGACTGGAAAATTTGAAAAATTAATTGTGGCTCTGATGAAACCCTCTAAGCTTTATGATGCCTATGAACTGAAACATGCTCTTAAGGTAAAACGATGAATAAAAGGAAAATTTCTGCCATGAGAAATATATTATTTTGTTTATGTAATTGTTTTATCTTATTTTTTATGTTTTAAAAAATTTAAATTATTTCAATGAGGATTTCTTGGAAGACAAAAAGATATGGGAGGCAATAAGAAAAGGAAGAAGAAAAAATGACAAGTGTGTCATTTAATTTTTTTGTATTGTTAACTCCATAACATTGGCTTATTTAAGAATCTAGTATTTTTTATAGCTTATTATATTTTATTTTCATACCTGTTTTCTAATTTTGAGATGTGTTGTAACAGTGTTACAAATGAAGTGTTTTATCTTTTTAAATAGAAACTTGCCTGATGAGGAAACAATATCGTTCATTGTTTTAGGTACAAAGAAGCTTGAAAGAATTTTCAAGATAAGATTTTCTAATGTCCTTTTCTTCTTTCTCATACTTCTAAACACTAGATATCATGGACTCATTTAAAATGAAGGAGCTGGAAAACTTGTCATACTTTCATTTCATTTGTAGTAAATAACTGAAACATACGTTCCCTTGGCAGGAAATAGTTCAGCCTTTAACAGATTTTGAATGGGCAAATTGAGGTTTCACAACAGAGAAAGAACGTAACTCACAGTTTCTTGTTTATGGAGTGGACAGAGGAGAGGGCATATCAAAATTTAGGAACCTTTGTATGTTTAATCTCTTCGTTTTTCTAAAATGATTCTTTTGGAATCAGTAAAATTTTATGTTATTGAAGAATGGTCATCTTTGCAGAGTGCTTCTGAAATGTCAGCCGCAGCTAATACGTAGCTCTGAAATTTGGCCAGAGCCTGAACCTAGGTTTGTCAGCGCTTGAATTTTGGTAGAGAAACAGAAATAGCAATAAAATAAGGCTTAACTATGATATCTTTTTCTCTGAGTTCAGCTATATAGTTGTTGGTGTCTTCTAGTTTAGCAGTGTCGATGTTATGATCAGAAAAAGGAAAACCAACTAAAATTTTTCAGAAATCTAGAAAGTAAGTCCCAGTTCCTTCTTACTGACTGGAATAGTAACAGAGCAATGCTGTACGTGTTGTAACTTTTGGTGCTGGGTTTTCCAGTGGCTCTGCTGGGAAGCTGGAGCCAGTGGTTTGTTTTTGAGCTAGATGGTTTAAATATCAGTGCTCTTCCATGTAAATTATGTAGAGCTTTCATTTTTACTATTTAAGCCTTTTTAAAAAACTATTTTATGTCTCATTAAAATGCTTTACTTCTACTATTTAGAATTAAACGGATCAAATAATAAAATTATGTAATTTATCATATTTCATATGTTTATACACACAGCGGCAATGAACATTGCTTTTTATTAAATAAAGTAAAATAGTATTTGGAGTGAAAATTAATTTGAAATTTCTTATTTCTTTAACTAATAGAACTCATATACAAAAGAAGCTCATGTTATGTTGGGTAATATTTATGTAGTTATGCAATTTGGATAGTATCTATTCTAGGAAATAAGTTCCTTCTTGATCTTACTGTCATATGTTTTCTCTGTTGACATTAAACCTCCAAATAGGGAGCCGGGACAGATGAAAAAGTACTGACAGAAATTATTGCTTCAAGGACACCTGAAGAACTGAGAGCCATAAAACAAGTGTATGAAGAAGGTGAATGTTCACAGTGATACTTCTCCTTCATTACCATGATCGCTTCTTTCATTTCCGAGGGGTTTACGGGAGGATACAGGAGGCGGGCAACACGTGATTGTTGAATGAATGAATGAATGAGCTACAATGTAAGCCATTTTTCTCCTTCAGTAAGGGAAAGACTACTTTTTTACCTGTTTTAGTAGTTGGCAGGAAGCTGCTGATGAAGGTGAAATTTACTCTTAAATAGGATTTGTAGTTATCAGGGATTGTTTTTCTTGTATGTTAATTTTAAGGTGTAAAAGATTTTTCTTCATTAAAAAAATTTAAATTTATGTGGGCCCTTTTGGAACCTGGGAAAAGACACCTACACCTTCTTCTAAATCAGAGTTGATAAAAACGTATGTCTTCTTAGCTAATGGCATTGAGTACTCTGCATTTTGATTTTTTCTTTTGTCATGCCTTGCTTTTTGTGAAACAAACAACAAAACAACCCAGAAAACTCTATTTCAGTCTGAAACATATGTTGTACATGGAATCAAGAAAATGAAATTAAAAGTAAAGGTAGAGAGTTCTTCCTTTCTTGTCAACCTTCCTGCAACAGACTCTTCACCTACTTGATTGAGGAGGACCAGACAATGCATCTTGTCAGCCCACTCAACAAACCTCCAAGCCAAGTGCCTTTAGCTAGAGAAATGAGTCTCTGTCTTGGCATTAGTTTATTAGTCTTAGAAATGACTTTGCTAATCAAGTCAGAACGGAGTGAATTTTACCGCAACTAAATAGTTCCCTTTCCCAAGTGCTAGATCTCTTTCCTGCTTCTCTTTTTATAGTTGGATAGATGCCAACCACTAAGGCAGAGGTGAGACGTGTATCTCAATTCCAGATAACCACTTTTTAGCTTTATTTGATGTAATAGGCAAAGATCTGTTTCTGGGAACGTGGGCATTGATGAGTGAGCCTTTGTACTGCTAGAGGAGAAATAGAATGCCGTAAAGGGATACTATCTGGTTATGGACTTTTTATGGACCATCCTGCTCAGCAGTGTTATTAAGCACTAGCTGTGTACTGTGTAGCGGTGTGCTGGTTGTCATGAGAAACACAAACGGCGTGTATAACACAGCTTCTGTCCCTGAGAAGCTTGCAGTCTGTTTAGAGGCGACACGACTTAGAACAGTTGCAATAGCTAAAGGATAGTAAAGTTTAAACTAAAGTCAAATACCAGAATGTTTAATGAAAGCACTCACTCAGAGAGGGGAGAAGACGTCATGGCTTTGGATGTTAGGGGAGGCTTCATGGTGCAGTTGGGCACTGAGCAGGTTTTCAAGAACAGGTGGGTTTTGGGTCGGTGGAGAAGGTGTTTCTGTCCAAGGTACCCTTTATCTACAAAAGGCATAGAGACTAGATTGAGGTGAGTGTCTTAAGGGAACAGTTGTTAGTTGCCATGGAGTTGATTCAGACTCATGGTCAACCCATGTGTGCAGTGTAGAACTGCTCCATATGGTTTTCAAGCCTGTGACCTTTCAGGAGTAGATCACCAGGACTGTCTTCCAAGGCGTCTCTGGGTGGGTTCGATCTGCCAGCCTTTCTGCTAGTAGTCAAGCACTTAACCATTTGTGCCACCCAGAGACAGAGAGAACTTGATTGCAGTGGAGGGTCTGTGTATGTCCACTGTAGGAGAGAAATTGAATAAGTGAGGTTGGGCTAGGTGACAGAGGGCTTTGCATAACGATTAGGAGTTTGAATGTGATTGAAAGGCATTGCAAGTTCCTGAATGGGCAATGAAGTGTTGAAGGAACAGTTGAGGGAGAAAGGAGATTTGAATCAAGAGGCTGGTTAGGCAGCTACTGTGTGGGGAGGTAAGCTAGGCATTTAATAATTATGGCCCAACTTAAGGTGGTGAGAGGTGTGAGGAGGATCAGTCAGAGAGAGGAGAAATAATTTGGTAGGAATTGATGGTTGATTGTATATAGGTGTTGGAGTAGAGGAAGGAATCAAAGAGTCATTCATAGTTTTATGTTTGGGTAACTGGTTGAAATAAACATGGAACTCCTCTGGGTCTTTTCAAATAGAAGATTCAGGCTTTTAAATTTTGCCTGCTTTCAACTAATGATTAAATATTTAAGTGCCTTTGAGCAATACTTCCTTTCCTTTAATGCCAGCTGTTTGTGAGTTAGTGAAAACGGCTCATTGCCTCTTGTAGATTCCAGTTCTGTCCTTTTCTGTGGTCTTTGTGTTAAACAGAAAAGTCTTTGGGAGGTGCAAACAGTTAAGTACTGGGCTACTAACCAAAAGGTTGATGGTTTGAACCCACCCAGAGGTGCCTTGGAAGAAAGGCCTGGTGATCTGCTTCCAAAAGGCCGCAGCCATGAGAACCCTGTGGAGGGCAGTACATAGGGTCACCATGAGTCAGAATCGAAGTGAGGACAAACCAGTACTGGTGTTATATGTTGAACAGCTGGAAATAGAGATGGGGTGGGGGGCATACTTTGAAATATCACTGCTGTGTCTCAGAGTTAATTTTATGAAATGTCACTGCTGTGTCTCAGAGTTAATTTTATTTGCTGAAGAGGAAAAATATCTTTTTTAGGGGTGGGAAGGGTCATGAACACAAAGAAAACTCTGAATACTAGAGGATGGAAGATGTTTGGAAACTTACCATGAAAAATGTGAAAGAAAGCTAAACGAGTTTAAAATTACGATCGATTGTATTTAAAAGGTTTTCCAGTACCATCTTGTGTCTACAGATTAATAACGACGTCGGTTTAGAGCGTTTCCAAATTGCTGTGTCATGATTTAGGCTTGAATCTAGTGCTTTTAAGACTTTAATTCATTTTCATCCAACTGCCCACTTAAAGCATTTGCCTTTAGTCTTTAGAGTGCTCAGAGACCAAGAATTTATCTTAACGAAATACAATATTTCTTCCTTTATGTGTCTTCCATTTGATTATATGCATCATTTTCTAGCTAAAAGAGGCTGTAAATAAGTATGAAATTACTTTGTTGCAGAATACGGCTCAAGCCTGGAAGATGACGTGGTGGGGGATACTTCAGGGTACTACCAGAGGATGTTGGTGGTTCTCCTTCAGGTACTGGGTGGGGGCTATTTATACATTGATTGATGGCTTAAAGAAATCTGCAGCTGGACTGGCCAGAATCTTTGAATAATTTTCGGTGTTTGCTGATTCTTCCTGCGATCAGTGGCGATTCTGGCTGGATGAGGTCTGTGTCTATGTTTCAGAATGTCTGACCTAAACTCTTAATGGCTAACTCATAGATTGTTTTAGATAGCAGTATCCTTTTTTATCTATAGAATTGAAAATCAGGCAGGTCAGATTGGTTTTGGACAGTGCTGTGTGGTAGTGTGAAATACTGTAGGGTTGATACTACCTTGGAAAAAGCGAATATTGCATATTTTTCCTAAGAGAAACTTTCTTGTCATAACAGTCGGCTGGAACCATTTTTCCTTTTGAATGACACTGATTATAGAATTCAGTACTGTGACGTATTATTTCTTCTAGGCTAACCGAGACCCTGATGCTAGAATTGATGAAGCTCAGGTAGAACTGGATGCTCAGGTGAGTGAGGCCTAAGGTGATAATTTTATTATGACATATAAGTGAAAAAACAATCAATGGTAATAAAAAATCATAATGTATATTGTAATAACCTCTAAAAATAATCTTATTTATAGGAGTCTTGGTGGTGCAGTAGTTAAGCTTATAGGTCCTTTACAAAGCATAAGATGAACATAAGTAAATTTCTCTCTTTTTGATCTGGCTATCAGAGTATTTACTTTAGCTTAAAGCTGGAATAAAACAAAATGAATGACATGAATATGAATTCCTCCTATATGTGATACTTTTATGTGATTATAAAACATTCAAAAAATAGAGAATTTTACTAAAAAACAGGAGTCGTTGATTCCACTGTCAGCGATGCAGGAGAGGATTAAGAAGAAAGAATAAAATATTTCAGTGGTAATGGGTGTTTTATTACTTAGTAGATGACAAGTTGGAGCCCTGGTGGCTCAGTGGTTGAGAGCTACGGCTGCCAACCAAAAGGTCGGCAGTTCGAATCCACCAGCCACTCCTTGGAAACCCTATGGGGCAGTTCTGCTCTGTCCTATAGGGTCGCTATGAGTCGGAGTCGACTTGATGGCATCAGGTTTGGTTTTTTTTAAGATGACAAGTTATGTTAGTAGTAGGACTTCTCTCATTATTTCCTTTAATAGAATTCTAAGTAGGTTTGCACGTTTGCCAGTTGCTTTCCTGCGACTCCCAAATGAAATTTTTCACGTAAGTGGCTTTTAAATCCCAGTGTGGGCTTAGTGTGGTTTATAAAGGAATGAAATGTAGGAGATAAATGTTAGGAAATTTGAAACGTGAGAGTTGTTTGAAAACTGGAAATTGGTAAAGGAGTTACTTGGGTTCCTAAAATCACATATCACAGTCCTGTCTCTGGCCACATGTTTCATTTAAGAAAGTAACACAATTCCTTGCTGGTACTTATACACTGTTGAAAAGAAGGAGCCCTATTTCCTCCTCCAGCCTACTGTTTTTTGTGAAACAACCAACAGATGTGTGATCTGACTTTGCTAATAGGGAAAAAGGAGCACATTATTTTCCTCTTGGCTGGGTTGACTTTATAATGGCTTCAGAATGCTCTTATATTTTTTGCCCAGGTGAATAAAGAAGGGAATTGAACGTTATTGAGGGCTGTCTGCCACTTTTTCACTCTTGCCTCACTGTGGTTGTCCGTCCCCCACTCTTGGCGACACCGCGCACAATGGAATGTTGTGATCCATAGTGTTTTTGTTGGCTGGTTTTCAGAAGTAGATTGCTAGGCCTGCCTTCTTAGTCTGGAAGATCCACTGAAACCTGTTCAGCATCATAGCAACACGCACGCCTCCACTGACAGATGGGTTGTGGCTGTGCCTGAGAAGCATTGGCTGGCAATTCCCCCACATGGCAGGCGAGACGTCTGCCACTGAACCACCAATGCCCCGTTTGCCTCATTACCGCTTTATAAAATGTAAATCTATTACGTCACATCCGTGTTTAAAACTTGAAAACTCTTCAGTTGCTCCCATTGTCCTCAGGATAAAATCTAAGCCCCTAAGTGTGGCTTCTAAACCCCTTCATTATCTGCTCCTTGCTTACTGATGCCTCTAGCCTCTGCTGTCTCTCCTTCCGCCCCCACATTCACCTGGCTACTTCCTCTTCAAAGGTCAGTCCTCAGCTTAGATACTTTTCAGGTAACCCTAACTGACTTCCAGGTGGGGGCCAGCTGCCTTTTACAGGAAAGACTCTGGCACCCCAACTTCCTTTCGAAGCCCTTTCCACACACTGCCTTCCCCTGGGCACTTTGGGCTCTGCTCTGTTGGTTCAGTTTGTGTCCTCAGCTCCTAGCACCTAGTAGGCCCTCAGAAAATAGCTGATGAGTGAATTGGTACATAACTCTGAAGTAGACAGGAAGATTTCCCTTTTATAGATAAGGAAACTGAGGCTCAGGGATTTGAGAAACGAGCCCACACCCCTCACCCCCACTCCGAGTAAGTGATGGAGCTGGGATTCTTACCCAGTCCTGTCTGACTCCAAAGCTCTTCCCTTTCACTGAACAATAGTCCCAGTGTTCTTGACCAGTAGTGCTTCCCTTTCATTTCCTCCGCCACATAAAGCATTTATTAAATATACATTGGAAGCACAGATACCGCTTAATTCTGCCTTCTTGAGGGGAAAGACTAGAACAGCCTCACACACTTGTCTTCTCAACTAACCTTACTGCTTACCAAACATTAGTTGTTGGGCTTCAGTATGAGCTGGAGCTGATTCTTGCATCCCTACTCTTAAGAGTTGGAGTTTTGAATGCTTTTCAGCAGTCACAGTAACAAAGCCAACTCCAGTAGTCTCAGATAACTGCAGTCAGGTCTGCATTAGAAAGCCATAGGCAGATTTCCTGGCACAATCGGTGATGTAACGAGACCGTTGCTGCACTGTGAGGCCAAAGAGTGGGAAAACAGTACGTCATGACCTCGTTTTCAGGGATTTTTCTCCACAGAGCACTCACCATATAGCGGTGCTTCTCAAACTTTAATGTGCCTTCGAATCACCTGGGGATCCTGTTAGACTGCAGATGCTGATTCAGTAGGTCTGGGGTGGGGCCTGAGAGTCTGCATTTCTAACAAGCTTTCAGGGGATGCAGATCCTGGGGCCACACTTTGAGAACGAAATGCTGTATCATAGTTGCTGTCACATCATTTTCGACTCATGGAGACCCCATGGTTGCAGAGTAGAACTGCACTTTATAAAGGTTCACAGCTGTGACTTTTCAGAAGCAGATCTTTCTTCTGAGGTGCCTCTGGGGTGTGTTCAAACAGCCAGTCTTCCGTTAGTAGCCAAGTACTTGACTGTTTGCACCACTGAGGGGCTCCAAACGCCGTATAGGTGTCACGTACGGATTGTGCAGAGGATATGCTTACTCAGAACCCTGAAAGGGAAACTTTGTACGTCTGAAAACTGCCGCATGGAGTTACTTGGAAGCCTCCCTTGAATAGAATCTAGGCTTTCCCTGTCATTCCAGCGACCAGGAGCAACAGACAACATGCTATGCTGGGTATTAGTCTTTTATTCTTTAAGATGTAGTGTTATTAATTAATACAATTGACTTGCTGAGAATATTCTTTCAGCATTATGAAAATAAATACGCTCATTTATACATTGTAGCAAGGGCAACTAGATTGTTAACCATGATTAGGAATTTAAGATTTTTTTAATGAGAGTAAGCTGAGACAACTAAAGATCCCTTTCATAAGCTTTTGAATTTTTCTCTCTGCTGATTCTTGGCACTAAGCAGATTCTTTGTGCGCCGTAGGCACAGCTACCACCTGTCTGTCAGTGGAGGCTTGCCTGTTACTATGATGCTGAACAGGTTCCAGCAGAGCTTCCAGACTAAGACCAGGAAGAAAGGTCTGGTGATCTACCTCTGAAAATCAGCCAGTGAAAATGCTGTGGCTCACAAGGGTCTGATCTGCAGTTGGTCATGGGGATAGTGCACGACTGAGCAGCGTTTTGTTCTGTTGTGCATGTACTGGCCACGAGTCGGGGGCCGACTCTACGGCAGCTGATAACAACAACAACAACTCGGTGAAAACAGGTACTATTACTCCCCCTTTAAGGTGAGGACATTGAGGTTCAAGAAAAAATTAACTAACTCATCTAAGATCTCACTGGTTAGTCCCAGATAAAGGACCAGATTTCCTTGTCCCCAAAGCCCCTGTACTTTGCACTGAACCAGCAGTTATCAAACTGTACTTGGGCCGAACAGTAAGCCCACTCTGTAGGAAGGTGGGGAGGGGGTCACCTGGGTGACATGAAAGGTTAAATGCTGGGCTGCTAATCTAAAGGTTGGCAGTGCGAACCCACCCAGAGGTGCCTCAGAGGAAAGGCCTAGTGATCTGCTTTTGAAAGGTCACTGCCGTGAAAATCCTATAGAGCCGAGTTCTATTCTGACACACCTGGGGTCACCATGAGTCAGAATGGACTTGATGGCAGTGAGTTTGGCAGGAAGGGGAGAGGGTGAGGAGATGCAGTGGGTCCTTCATCTAGAAAATTGCCATGGATATTGGACGTCCTAATTCAGAAGAAAGAATCCTCAGGTTAAAACAAAACAAAACAAATACCATTGCTGTGGTGGTGCAGTGGTTAAGAGCTACGGCTGCTAACCAAAACGTTGGCAGTTTGAATCTACCAGTCGCTCCTTGGAAACCCTATGGGGCAGTTCTCTGCCCTATAAGGGTTGCTGTGAGTCAGAATTGACTTGACAGTAACGGGCTAATATGAAGATGCCACTATAATTATTGTGTAGGATTTACTTAATAATCATTTTAGAATAGATATTGATCCCAAACATAAATTTTCCAAGATTAAGAGATTATAGTAAAAAAATAGCTGATAGTCAGTTATTCCCATATAACAACCTTAACTGTTACACCTACTAGAGAAAATTTCTTAGAAATATGGAATAGATGATAAAAATGAATGCTTCAGCAGTGCCTGCAGTGTTGGACAGGATGAGCCGTCCCCCCTTTTAAGTGTTTGTGTGTGTGTGTGTGTGTGTTTGTGTATATCTTTATGAAGAAAATATACTCGAAGTAGTAACCAGCATCCTCAGGATTTTTCTATTAATGGTAATTCTTACTTGTGTTTTTTTTTCCCCTCTGTTTTACAACACTTCTCAGTGAACATGTGCTATTTTTGTAGTCAGATCAGAAAGTCATTCTAAGAAAGTTGCGTAGTTTTAAAGATAACTTACGTGATCCTCGTTTTCATAGTACTGTCTTTCGGTTTGAAGAGCATGTTCACATGACCAGAATGGTATTATTTATTTTTATCATTAATTTGAAAATTGAGTGTAAGGTTGTGAGTCTTATCTTTTCTTTATTCTCTGAAAATAAAAAAACGATCTATACCGTCATAGCCTTCATTCTTAAACATACTGCAGTCAGAACTTCTAAGTCCAGACACATGCTATTCTCCTTTTCTGGTTGGTTTACTGCTTGTGGACATAAGGACAGCTCCAGATAGCAGCCTTAGAAAATGGCATTCATCTTGGTTTAATAAGTATATTTATCTTGAAATGAATAATTAAAAGGGTAGTACGTATAGTATTTTAAAGACTGACTCTTTGGGTTTTAATAAATTATTCATATCTCAGTAAGTGGACTTAGAGATTTAATGACAATGTATATAATTTTATTTTTTTGGCAGTGATATGAACACTGGAAGGTAGATATTCCTTTCCATGTCAAAAAGTAAATATGGGCACTCAAACTATTCAGCAAGTATTAAGTGCCTGCTACATGCCAGGCGCTGTGCTACATTCACTACCTTTTAACAATTTGTTGTGATCTTTTAGAAATATGAAAATGTTTTATACCCAGCTTTGATTAGATCTCAGTTGTAAAGAGAAAATACGGAGTTGGCTTTTTATGTGTGCTGTTGACATAGTACAAGCAAAACAGAAAATGCAGACAACTTAGCTCCCAGCTAATTTCTTCCTCAGTCTGCAAATGGAGGTATCAACAATGAGGCAGTCAGAAATTTCCGCCAGCCTGGGCCCCTACTCCTGAAAGACTGTAACTTGGTAGACATTTTGGGAACATTTAGCCTTGCCCTATTGCTCTGCATTATTGCTTTCATCCAAAGCAAGCTCCCAGGTAGCTCCAAATTAGTGATCTGAGTTTTAGAGTATGAAATATTGGAAATGGCAGAGTATATGATGATGAATCAGTTGAATTAATATTTAGTAAATTTAAAAAGTGTGATTAAAAACTTGGGAATGGGATAGAGGAATCTTCTACTAATTGAGATTGAAATTTTCACAGGCTTTGTTTCAAGCTGGGGAACTCAAATGGGGGACGGATGAAGAAAAGTTTATCACGATCTTTGGAACACGCAGCGTGTCTCATTTGAGGAGGGGTGAGTGAAAAATGTGTATAGAATAGGTGCTTTAGTTAATTTTGTAAGTGCATGAACCAGTATGCCGAAATAGTTACATAGCAGGTACTTATTGAATGAATGATTTTTTTCTTTCTTCCTTACGTTTGGCCACCCTGAGAAATCTTGTAATTCTCTTTGCTGCTATTGTAGGTTTTATAAAACTAGAGGTCCTCATTTGCTTTTCTGTATCAGGGTAGTGAGGGCAGTCAGGCCTCTAGGCTCTTTCTCTTGTCGTCACAAGCCACTGGGTAGTAGCTCACTACAAGTAGTTTTTCCTAGACAGTGGTATCTAAGACCTAATCTCTGGATTGCCACCAGTACTTGTGCTATTAGTTGGGAATGAGTTCAGTGGCAAGTGACAGCTGTGCTAAGAGTGACTTTGAAAATTGGGGTTTATTTCTGTCCATAGAATTTCATGTCTGGTTTGTCAGGCCCTGGGCTCTTTCTGCTTTTCTGCTCCACTGTCCTTAGTGTTTTGATTTTCTTCCTTATGCTTATTACCTCATCATCGCAATATGGCTGCTGTAGCTCCAAACACATCAAACATTTTCACAGTAGGAAGAAAAGGAAGCAGTTAACTAGTCATGTCCATCTATCACTTTTTAATCAAGAAAGAGAAATAGTTCTCAGAATCCCCTCTAGCAGATTTCCCTCTAGGTCTCCATCGCTATAACTAGACAGGGGTGCTGGAAAATCAGTGAATGTAGAGCTCTCATAATCTATTGCTTGGGGCTTGGCCCATTGAGGCTCTGAACGCAGTGAGGGTTCTGTTAGCAAGGAACAAGGGGAGATTTGTGTTGGGTAGGACAACACCTGGTCAGAGTAAATATCTTCTTTCAGGAAAGAGTGATCTTTATGTGATTAAGAAATCACCTTTATTTTTTCTAGTGTTTGACAAATACATGACTATATCAGGATTTCAAATTGAAGAAACCATTGACCGGGAGACTTCCGGTAATTTGGAACAACTACTCCTTGCTGTTGGTAGGTAACTTTACAGTGTATATATATTTATGGTGATAAGAACTAAAGTATTCTATTCAGTTGAGGCTGTATCTAAAAATAATCACCTATTTCTTAATTAAAAGAAGAGCTTGACAGGACATTTGGGTGAAGCAAACTCCTAAATTTCTAACCCAAAAAAAAGTCTGCTTTGATATTGGAAATTCATGATTATCTGATAATGCTATGGAAATACTAACAATTATTTTAAGTTTATTTTGAAGCTGCACTGAAATTTCTACTTCATTCTGAATCGGAAAAGTTGTGGACATTATCTTAGAGGCTTGTAAATGTTATTCCTGATACCTGTGGAATTTAGAATTGACTTTGAGACTGACTGAGAAATTGGTATTTGGTTCAGAAAAAGAGCATCTTTGATGTAACAGAATCTGTGATGATAGTAGTTTTCATATTAAATAATTTAGAATTTTATTTTAGCTGAATATTCAGAATAATCTGGAAAAATTGGAGAACTGAGTTTGTGCAATTGATTGTAGTAGTATATACCCTCCAAATCCAGGGAGGATCTAGTTTGTGAGTTTCTGGTGGTCCTAGTTTTCATAGGATCTGGAGTGAACCTCTCTCAGATAAACATGTTTGTTCCGAGTATTGGTGATAGGCTGAAGTTTTTGTGCTTTATGTCTTCTGGAGGAAAAGCTAAAGGTGTGCATGAATCAGCACTAAAGAACCTTTCATTTGTGTATGCAGTTAATGAACTTTCACTAGAAAACTTTCAGACAACCTCTTCATTATTAGAATACACATTAAAATTATCACATTTTTAGTTACTAGCGGATGTTTTTCTTAAGCACCAGAAAAGGGGAAATAAAAACGCCCACAATTCAAGGATTGTTATTTTTGTATATAAGGAATTTTCATGTGATATGTTTTCTGAAGCTAAGCTGACTAAGGTTTAAGTATCCCTAGTCTACATTAGGCATATGCATGTTCAGAGAAGATATGCTTTTTGTGTATTAGTTTATCTACTGAAATGAATAAATCTCATGCTGCTCTATGTGAATCATCAGTATTAAAGAGTACCTAGATTAAGATTATAGGACGATAGTCCAAGATTTGTCAAAGATTAGGTAGAAGGGCTTCATCTAGCCTGAGACCAGAAGAACTAGATGGTGCCCAGGTACCACTACCAACTGTTCTGACCAGGGACACAAGAAGGTCCCAGATAGAGTGGGAGAAAAATGTAGAACAAAACTCAGATTCCTAAAAAAGGCCAGACTGAACTGGACTGATGGAGACTAGAGAAACTCCCAAGACTATTGCCCTAAGATACCCTTTGAGCTTGGAACTGAAGCCACTCCTGGAGGTCACCTTTCATCCAAATAATAGATGGGCTTATAAAATAAACAGTATCACCTGTGAGTACTGTGCTTCCTTAAATAATCAACTATATGAAGCCAAATGTTCAACATTTACCCTAAAGCGAAGATGAGAAGGTAAGGAGGGGCAGGGAAGCTAGATTAATGGAAACAGAACAACCAGAATGGAAATAATGAGAATGCTGACACATTGTGAAAACTGTAACCAATGTCACTGAACAACTTACATAAAAATTGTTAAATGGGAACCTGATTTGTTGTGTAAACTTTCACCTAAAACACAATAAAATATTTTAAAAAAAGGTAGAGTAGTAATCTTGTATCATTTGCTTGAGAGTCTTGGAATGAAAACCTCCAAGATGTTTGTATAACATGTTGGGGACCAATAAGATAAGGCATGGTAACAATCTCAGGATGCCCAAACGCTGCATAAAAGAAGTACCCATAGAACAAAGAGGCATAGAAAAATCTTGGACCTTTGTCCTACATACCTTTCTATGTAACTCAAAACTCCAAGGAAAACTCAAGCTAGTATCTAAGATACTAACTTGGTGAGTGAGGAGATCAGATTAGCTTGCAAATGAGCAGTGCCTTCATTTGTTACTTTTATAGAAATAGAGCTATAGGCATTAGGTAGCTATTTATTTTTAATTACTAAATCCCTGAGTTGTGGGGGTGCAGTGGTTAAAGCAATGGACTACTAATCGAAAGCTCGGTGGTTTGAAACCACCAGCAGCTCTGTGGGAGAAAGATGTGGCAGTCTATGTCTGTAGAGATTTACAGCCGTGGAAACCCTATGGGGTCACTATGAGTCGGAATAGACTTGATGGCAGTGGGTTTGGCTTTTGGGTTTGGTTCTTCATATCAGAATAACATCTGAACATTGTATTATTTATTTTCTTAGTAAAATCTATTCGAAGTATACCTGCCTACCTTGCAGAAGCCCTCTACTGTGCTATGAAGGTAAGTGGATACCTTGAGTCTTCTAGTTAATTTATCTTGCCAGCTATTATTCTTATCTGATCTAGTTATTATTTGATCATGTTTTAGATAATAGATTTTGGGATATATATATTTTTAATCTAAAACATGTAGCTCAATTCTACTAAATTGTTTTACTTTATTGATTCACCCCAACTCAGGGGAGTTTGATGCTGTAATTGAAGTTTTTAAACAGTGTGCTTTTCTCTTTTTCTTGTGTGAAGGGAGCTGGGACAGATGACCATACCCTCATCAGAATTGTGGTTTCCAGGAGTGAGATTGATCTATTTAACATAAGAAAGGAGTTCAGGAAGAATTTTGCCACCTCTCTTTATTCCATGATTAAGGTAATAGGAAAAACAAAAACACATAGTTGCTGTCCAATTGATTCTGACTCCTGGTGACTCCATGTGTGTCAGATTAGAACGGTGCTCCATGGGGTTTCCAGGGGCTGATTTTTCAGGAGATTGCCAGGCCTTTTTTCCGAGGTGCTTCTGGGTGGGTTCAAACTGCCAACCTTTCGGTTAGGAGCCAAGCACATTAACTGTATACACTATCGAGGGACTCCTGGGTAATAGAAACTCTTTAAATTATATTTAGAAATCTAAAGCAGACCAGTGTAGAGCAGTGCAAGGTACAGAGTGGAACAACCCAATTCTTGTGTGAAGTTTAACATTTTAGTGATGTGCTTAGAGCTATGTGTTATAAAGCTTGGATACTGTTTACTAATGTAAGGGGGATGGCTCCCTAGTGAAAGCTAGGATACTTGCTGAGGCTCTTGGTGATCTTAAAAGCATGATTTAGTAGTGGTATTTGGTTTAGAAGAAGAGCATCTTTGATGTAATAGAACATGTGATGATAGTTTTCATATTAAATAATTTGGAATTTTATTTATGTTACTAAGTCTAGAGTCTGGGTCATTTGTATTTTCCTTTAAGAGGTCAGACTGCTTTTAGCCTTTTTGTAAAACCTCATTTACATTAAATTGATAAGCGTATTACCTTAATCGGAACCTTAGCCTTGAAATCGTGAACTCCTGGTGCAGTGGTTAAGAGCTTGCCTGATAACCAAAAGGTCAGCAGTTTGAATCCCCCAGCCACTGCTTGGAAACTCTATGGGGCAGTTCTTCTCTGTCCTGTGGGGTCACTGTGAGGTGGAATTGACTTGATGGCAATGGGTTTGGTTTCTTGGTGGAAGTGACTCAGGAAACTCAGCCCCTTGCCCATGATAATGATGTGTTTGTCTGTCTCTCTTTTATTAGTTCCAGCTGTTTTTACTATTCCTCCTTTGTTTCAGATCAGTTTTTCATTTCTTTATTGTCTGTTATCACCTTGCCTCTGGCATTTATTTGTTCTTAGATCAGGAAAGAACCCAGCAGGTCATTCTTGCAGTAAGTAAAGAGCGTAGGTATCACTATCATTTTTGTCCTTTTAAAAACAAAGGACTCTCTGGCGAATTAAATTTGGCTTAAGGTCTTTTAGCTTTTTTACTTCTTTTTTTTTAACAAAGGGTAATGTGGTCCATGTGTAAAGCAGGATCTCAATTAAGCAAGCTTTTAACTTAGTGTGTGGTGGTGTGGCTGGGCTGAAACGTACTAGATAGAGAGTTCCCCTCTGCTCTCGTAGCTCCAGACATTTTCTTAGTTTATCATGCACATCTGTCTGAGGCAAGTCGAGGCGAACGTGTCCTTTGAGGCAAAGCCGTCACAGTCAGGCGGCCCCAGCATTGCCCCCTTCCAAAAGACACCCACTGCCGTCCAGTCAATTCTGACTCAGCGACCCTGTAGGACAGAGTAGACCTGTCCCATAGGGTTTCCAAGGCTGTCGTCTTTACGGAAGCAGACTGCCACATCTCCCTCGGAGCGGCTGGTGGGTTCCAACTGCCGAACTTTCAGTTAGCAGCCAAGTGCTTAACCACTGCGCCACCAGGGCTTCATTTGCCACCCCCCCTTAGCCAGATACATACTATGTATTAGAAATTTAGAGATTATTTAGAAAGCTTGAATTTAATATAGTTGTTAGAAGTGAGAGCAGGTCGTTTTCCCTGTTCTCTGTATTAGTAGAGGGAAGAACGTACTTCACTGTCTTTGAGAGTACTGTGTCTTTAAGTTAGAAAGTTAAACATAAGTTACATTGATAGACAACTCCCTGTCTAACATTCCTGATGTGGAAGTCACACACACAGAGATTACCCACTTGGAAGAAAAAAATCATATGATTAAAATTGGTACCATAGATTTCTTAGTGTTTTGTTTTCTGTGGCTTCTGTGACTCGTGGAGGTTAACTGAGTCCATTTGGGTTTCAGAACGATACATCTGGGGACTATAAGAAAGCCCTGCTGCTGCTCTGTGGAGGAGAAGACTGACACGCCTCCTGGTGAGACCCTGCTCTGTGCCGGCCGCCGACTCCAGCACATCCAGCCGCACTTTTGTATGCTAGCGCTTGACACGTTGCCTTATTCATACTAGGATGCTAATGACCAAAATGTACATGCTGCAGAAGTACATACCTATGCTTCTTTTTGATCTTCAATTGAGATCTATCTCTTTGACTTTTATAGTACTGACGTATACTTACATTACTAAGTCTAGAGTCTGGGTCATTTATGTTTTCCTTTAAGAAGTCAGACTGCTTTTAGCCTTTTTGTACAACTCCATTTATATGAAATGGATAACCATATTACCTTAACCGGAACCTTAGTCTGGAAATTGTGAACTCCCGGAAGTGTTCTTAATCCGTTCGCTACTGAATTAAACCTACAAAATTATGGTGGTTGCATTCAGAAGATTAATGATAATAAACATTTCCTTTCCCCTGAATTATGTGTGTGTGTGTGTGTTTAGAGTATTTATTTAACAGTGATATTATTATCTTTTTTTCAGGCTCATCAATTGACAGTGGTGCTAGTTGAGAACTGAATTTACAGTTGGCTTTTTGGGTGAAAGGCTTGAATTGCCGTACCACAGACTATGTATTTTTCTCCTCCACAGCAGCATGGAATGAGGTTGAAGGGGGAATCTGATTTATCTGCAGCATGCTGATTTGGGCTTCTGTTAAGGTGATGCTTGGGGTGCTAGTTCTTGATAGAAACACTAATTTTAAAACTTAGAAATCCAGAGCACTACCTTCCACTTGTTTTTCCTACCTACCGTCTGCTACCTTCTGTGAAATAAAAAAGGGAAATAGCTTTTAGAAAGCAGCAGTTGATCTCTTCTAATATTTACCTTCCAGTTTTCTTTCTGCTTTCAAATTTCCTCTTCAGTTGGTATAATAATACGTACACCCTGACAGACATATTTTTTAAAACAGAAGTGATAAAGTGATTGCCCTTGACAAGAAGGTATTTTTATAAAATGTACTCCTTCTCCCTTTGAAAATTTTAAAATAGTGATCATAATGTTTTTTCACAAAATTGGCTGCTCATCAGAATATCCAGGGAAGCCTTAAAAATTATGTGTAAATATGACATTGGATTTTTTCAAAAGCCCCGTGGGCAATTCTGATGCAGAGCCAGGTTAAGAATCAATTACTTTTCATAGGAAAGATCTTAGATAGTATGTTTCAAAAAGTTCTTTTTATTTAATAGTTCACTGACTTTAAATATAAGCCCTTGATTATTTGTCATGCTTCAAAAGATATGAAAGAGTGAGCATTAAAATCTGCTATATTTAAACAGTTTGTGACCCTTTGCTCAGCTTTTGCTGTGAATTTATTGTGATACCTCTGTTTTTGTTTTTTGATTTTTCTTTTTGGAACTAGGCAAGCTGATTCTAAATTTAATATGAAAAAAGAATGTTGTGTTAGGTGCCACTGAGTTGGTTCCAGCTCATAGTGACCCCATGTACAACAGACCAAGACACTGCCTGGTTCTCTGCCATCCTCACAATCATTGCTGTGGTTGAGCCCATTGTTGCAGCCACTGTGTCAGTCCATCTTGTTGACGGTCTTTCTCTTTTTCACTGACCCTCTACTTTACCAAGCATGATGCCCTTCTCCAGGAACTGGTCCCTCCCGATAATATGTCCAAAGTACATGAGACAAAGTCCCACCATCCTCACTTCTAAGAAGCATTCTGGTTGTACTTCTTCCAAGACAGATGTGTTTGTTCTTCAGGCAGTCCATGGTATAGTCAGTATTTTTCATTAACACCATAATTCAGATGCGTCAATTTTCCTTTGATCTCCCTTATTCATTGTCCAGCTTTTGCATACATAGGAGGTGACTGAAAATACCATGGCTTGGGTCAGGCGCACCTTAGTCCTCAAAGCAAAGTGACATCTTTGCTTTTTAACACTTTAAAGAGGTCTTCTGCAGCAGATCTGTCCAGTGCAATACATCGTTTGATTTCTTGACTGCTGCTTCCATGATTGTTGATTGTGGATCCAAGTAAAATGAAATCCTTGACAACTTCAGTATTTTCTCCATTTATCATGATGGTCCAGTTGTGAGGGTTTTTGTCCAGTTATGAGGATTTTTGTTTTCTTTATGTTGAGGTGTAATCCATACTGAAGGCTGTGGTGTTTGATCTTCATCAGTAAGTGCTTTAAGTCCTCTTCACTTTCAGCAAGCGGGGTTGTATCATCTGCATATCACAGGTTGTTAATAAGTCTTCCTCCAATCCTGATGCCGAGTTGTTCTTCGTATAGTCCATCTTCTTGGATTATTTGCTCAGCATACAGATTGAATAAGTATCGTGAAAAGATGCAGTCCTGACACACATTTCCTGACTTTAAACCACGCAGTATCCCCTTGTTCTGTTCAAATGACTGCTTCTTGATCTATGTACAGGTTCCTCATGAGCACAAATAAGTGTTCTGGAATTCCCATTCTTCACAATGTTGTCCATAATTTGTTATGATCCACACAGTTGAATGCCTTTGCATAGTCAATAAAACATAGGTAAACATCTGGTATTCTCTTTCAGCCAAAATCCATCTGACATCAGCAATGATACCCCTGGTTCCACGTCCCCTTTGGAATTCAGCTAGAATTTCTGGCAGTTCCCTGTTGATGTACTGCTGCAACAGCTTTTGAATGATCTTCAGCAAAATTTTACTTGCGTGTAATATTAATGATACTGTTCAATAATTTCCGCATTCCGTTGGGTCACCTTTCTTTGGAATAGGCATAAATATGGATCTCTTCTAGTTGGCTGGTTTCCAGTGTTACATCCGTGTGTTGAAACATCTCAGTTGGTATTCCCAGAGTCCTATTTTTCACCAGTGCCTTCAGTGCAGCTTGGACTTCTTCCTTCAATACCATTGGTTCTTGATCATATGCTCCCTCCTGAAATGGTTGAACGTTGACCAGTTCTTTTTGGTATGGTAATAGTAGGAGATGTTAATACACCACTTCCAAGAATAGAACAACTGGAAAGAAAATTAAAGATACAGAAGACCTGAATAACACTGTTAACCAACTGGACCTAGCAGGCATATATAGAACATATCACCCAACAGCAGCACAATACATATTCTTCTCCAGTGTACATGGAACATTCTCCAGTATAGAACATATATCTATTTAAGTCCAACCTGATTTGTGTTTTAGAAAGAACAATCTGACTTCTGTGTAGAGAATGGATTATTGGGGCAAAAGCGGAAGGAGATCTGTTTGGCCCTCAAAAAAACTGAAACCACACCTGTTGCTGTCGAGTCGGTTCCAACTCATAGCAACCCTATTGGACAGAGGAGAACTGCTCCATAGGGTTTCCAAGGGGCTGCTGGTGGATTCGAGCGGCTGACATTTTTGGTTAGATGCTGAGTTCTTAACCACTGCACCACCAGGGCTCCTGTTTGGCCCTATCATAATACAAATGGAAGATGAAGGTGATTTGGATTAGGGTGATAGTTGTGGAAATCAAGGGAAGTGGATAGATTAAATCAATAAAAAGTGGGGGTCAGATCAATAAAACTTGATGATGAAACATTTGGATAGAGGGTAAAGGAAAGGAGGAGTAAAGATAATGTCTACATTTTTGTCCTGAGCAGTTGGGTGAATAGTGGAGCCATTTACTTAGATGTGGAGACTGAGGGGGAAATAGGAGGCTGGGGAAAAATCATGACATGCTAAGTTTGAAATGCTTGTTATAAACCAAAGGGGGGATGTAGAGTAACCAAGGGCTGTAACACTGAAGACAGCGACAGGCCTGGAAGGGGCCCTGCAGCAGAGACAGACTGCAGGGCCAAGAGGAGCCTGTCCTGAGGGGGCCAAGAGGAGGCCTGGAGAGCTGAGAGACGGTGTGCCTGGCAGAGAGAAGGGCCTGCTTGCTTGCATAGCTGCGGAGCTGAGAGAGCTGTCCTGCACTAAAAGAGGGATGTGCTCACCTCTTCAGGGGAGCCCTCCAGACTTTGCTTACGTGCTTCCTGATCCTGAGCTGTAACCTGTTAATCCTGATCCCCAGTTGTACCCTGTTGCTTCCTTATTAAACCACTTAACTGTAAGTATGGTACCTGAAGTCTCTGTGGCCATTGCAACAGATTATTGAACCCAGCAGAGAAGTAGTGCCATGGGAGGGATGGCTGGTGTCAGAATTGGTGAAAAGATTGGAGAACAGATGTATGTCTGACCTTCACCTCATGGGAATCAGCCTTAGACTGATCTTGAGTCACTTTATACACCCTGAAGTTAGACAGGTTCTGATGGTAGTATTCACACCGTTTTATAGACCTTCAAAATTATTTACTTTGAATTTTATTTATTTACATATGAAGAAACAGAAGTTTTGATTTTCCAATTTAATACAACATGTTAAAAAGAAGAACTGGGACTTGAGCTAAGCCTCTTCACAGATAATTTTCCACCCAAGGACGACAAGTAAGTTTCACTATGCATGCTAACGCTGAGTTAGCTGGTAGTCACTGTTTAATGTTGGCTAGGGTGGGATACTGAGGCATGTCTCATCTCAGTGTGGAATAGAGTCCTGATTAATTAGCAGTTTCTGCCAAGGGCTCAAAGGGAGGCAATGATTGCATATCTGTCATGGTTTCACCACTCCCAGTGGGAATAAGATCTAAATGCAAAGGGAAAACTTCTGGTTTGAAAATTGATGTGTTAAAGTCAACTTTTCTTTATTGGAAATTATCTAAAATAATAAAGAGCATGAGAAACAATGAATCTGAAGCCCTGAATCATAAATTAATAGGAAAGAGTTGCCAAAATTAGTAAAGACCAAACTGGGAGAAAGCAGAGAGTATGCCTGGAATTGCAGGTCTCAGAGAGAGAGATGGCAGCATGCAGGTCTCTAAGGTAAGGGTCTCACTTAGAGATACAGCCTCAGATCCTTTGCCTGCTACTGGAAGAAGGGGCAGAGACTTTGGTGGGTGCTTCTGCTTCACTGGCCGTGGTCTGGATTTGAGAAGCAAAGAAAGGGTTGAAAAGGAACCACACAGACAAGCTGTATGTGCAGAATGGTGGTGGTGGCCGTTGAGATGGTGGTGGTGGTGGCGGGTGGTTAGAGAGAAACTCGCAGTGTGAGCAGCCTGTCTTCACTGACGTGGAAAAGTAATACTCAGAATAACTCACTTAATGAATGTAGGTCATAAGGAAAGTTCCTGCTAGCCAGGAACACAGTGAAAATTGTGACCAAACGTTTGGCTGTAAACAAACACTTGCCTTTATTGAGTAAGTGCACAAAGAAGAGAACAAAAAACTTAGGGAAGAGAAAGTGAAAAAACAGGAGATGAAATGTGAAAAAAATAGAAAAAAAATCACAAAAACGAGGGTGAACTCGAGGGTAAAAGAAAAGGCACTGTTGAAAATGTAAGAGAGAGATAAAAGATGTATAAAAAACATGAGAAATGACATGGGTAGTTTAAACAAGTTAAAAGATTCTAGAAAATTATAGCTAAAACAGAAAAATAAGAACCAACATAAACATAATGGAAAAACTTAACATGGAAATAAAGGAATAAAACATAACATATATAAAATAAATAATTTTATATAATTCAATAAAAATTTTCAGAAATGACAGAATTTAATCTGTAATTTGATAGGACAAACCAGGTCCCCAGAAAAATTGACATAGCAGAGTCAGCATTGAGAGTCACTGTCTTAAACAGTAAAGATAAAGACTCTTTCAGGCAATGAGGCCTGAAGATTCACTAAAATTCAGGTTAGCCTCAGACTTGTCCACAGTAACATCCAATGCTAATACAGTAGGGCAGCATTTCTAAATTCTCAAGGAAGAATTGTGACCCAAGAAACTAATAACCAGACAGGCTTTTATTTTAAAGTATGAAGGCAAAAAACATTTGAACATGCAGTAACTCGGTCAATATTGTTTCTATGAGACCGTCTTTAAGAAAGTGCTAGAAGGACTAGTGAAAAAACTACAGCAAAAGAACTCAGACATGGTTGAATTCAGAAAAAATAAAAGACAAAGTCATTTTTAAATGATACAGTGTGCAAGCCATAGTGAAGACTGTATACCAAAAAACAAGTCTTCAATTTTTTTTGAAGTAAAAACTACAGTGGACACAAGGAGAACAAGAATCATATTAGTATTAAGTATCCATAGAGACAATTTCCAAAAATTCTAAAATTGAGAAACAGACAATATTCCCTGACTACAGTGCAATAAAACAGAATTCATTATCTTTACCAAAAAATGAATATATAAAAATCCCTAATATTTTGAAATAAAAAATAACACTTTTTAAATGAGCTTTAAGTAGAACAGGAAATAGAGGAAATAAAAATAAAACTACAAATTATCTAGAAAATAGAAATTGCAAAAACACTAAAATTATTTTAGGGGTACTTCTAAGTGGTTTCCAGAGAAAAATGCATAATCTTAAATATTTCTAT